TTATTCATGTGCTGCTAGAACAATTTTCCCTCAATCGCATATTGAGCATACATGAATTAATACTGTCATACACTGAAATTAGACTATAATTAGACTGTAACTACGCAAAAATTAACGATACCATTATAAGGTATTATGTTTTTGTCTTCCTTGCTGCGATTTCAGCCGATGGTTACTATTTTATTCTTCTTTTATGCTAGGACTAGAATAATGGCAAAGATATTATCTTTCATTAGAGTTGTAATCGTTATACGTCTGCTTCAGGCTATAATAACTGCTACTGGTCTGTAAATATTATCTTGTATGGTTGGATAAATAAGCCACCAAATTATCATATTCCAGGGATCAAATCAGACTCATGTATAAAAGGTACAGTTATGTGTAGCTTTCATGAGGGATTAAGCGAACATCTCAGTATCACTACGTCTATAAAATTTCAGTTTTCAGGTTGCCGATATTCTTGAAAAGATAACCAGTAGCAGAAATAAGTATAACTATAAAGCGTCTCAGAAAACTTATTGATATGTACGATTTCTAGTTAAGATTATTGATCACATTGACATTGACGCTTGGAAGAAATGAAATTTGACTGACTACCACAGACAGGTCGCAGTTGTTTGGAATAACCTGAATTAAGTTAAGATGCCTACTTTATCATTGACATTTACGAGACTTTGCAGTCAAATATTAGAATAGAAAACAACGGCTTCTTAATACAAGGGGTCACACAATATAGATCAGTCACAGAAAAAAAGAATTGTGCACTCTAACATACATTTATTCATTTTCTCATATATGCTCACTGTACAGCTTAAGTAACCGTGATTCAACTTTTAGTAGTCTCTTTGTGATTTCATAAACTTGATTCTCTTATTAATCAAGTGAAAACGAGTGTACGTTCGCACAAAATGTGACTAGATATTCAGCATCTGCACTCAATAGGAAGTTTAGGTTCATATTGTTGTAAATAATTATCAATACAATGCAATACATTTTCATGTATTTCGAAGATGGAACGTATTCTGAAAACGCACATAAACATAATACATACATGTTTTAGAACAGGTAAGTCACGAATAACTTGCGATCACTTACTCTTACTAATCGTTCGTATAACAAATGACGTACTTACGCCTATTACTACCGATGGGGCATAGGCTGCCAACCAACATTCTCCAACTCACTCTGTCCTAAGCCTTCATTTATAGTTCTGACTGTGTTTCTCGGCGTAATGTGTTTGTCGGTCTTCTCCTTCTCATTTGGCCTTGAGGATCCCAAATGAGGGTCCGACATGTGACACAGTCGGGTGCTTACCTCAATGTGTGTCCTATCCAGTTCCAGCGCTTCTTCCTGATTTCTTATTCCGCTGGGAGCTGGTTTCTTCTCTTACTCAGTAGGTCATTGCGGATGGTGTCTGGCCAACTGATCAGGAGTATTTTCGTAGACAACTGTCAATAAATATTTATGTCTTCTGGATGATAGCTTTCGTAGTTCTCCACGTTTCCGCCCCATACGGTAGAAATGTTTCCACATTTGTGTTGGAACTTCTGACTTTGGTGTTGATTGAAAATTGTTTTGAGTTCCAGATTTTCTTCAGTTGTGGATATGCTGCTTTTGCTTTGCCGATCCGTTCCCTCATATATGCATCAGATCCACCGTGCACATCGATAATGCTGCCCAGGTATGTAAAGGTGTTTACATCCTCCAAATCTTCTCCGTCAAGTGTGGTTCGATTGGTGCATGTTGTGTTGTATCAGAGAATCTTGCTTCTCCCTTGTTTATGTTGAAACCTGCTGCTACAGTGGTCGTCTTCTCATGTGTTTGTTGTTGCGTTTGTGATAGAAGAGCCAGATTATCTGTGAAATCTAGATCATCCGGCTGCACAAGAGCTGTTCACTGTATCCCTTGCTTCCCCCAGATGTTGACGTCTTCATAATCTAGTCGATCACCAGGAGAAAGAGTGAGAGTAAACAAGCCTGCCTGACACCGGCCTGTACTTCGAACGAGTCTGTGAGCCGTCCTCCGTGCGCGATTTTGCAGTTCAACCCATCATGAGAATTACGTATGATATTGACTATCTTCTCAGGTACGCCGTAGTGTTGAAGAACTATCCATAGTGTTGTCCTACCTACGCTTTCAAATGCTTTCCCATAGCCAATGAAGTTGATGTAGAGTGATGAATTCCATCCAATTGATTGTTCCACAATGACCCGTAGTGTTGCGATTTGGTCGGTACACGATCGATCCTTATGAAATCCAGCCTGTTGATCTCAGAGCTGAGCGTCTACGGAGTCCTTCATTCTATTTAACAATACCCTATTGAAGACTATTCCTGGTATTGAGAGAAGAGTGATGACTCTGTAGCTCTCACAATTCAGTGATGAGTGGATTCAGTGGGGCCGGTCGATTCAGGAGTTCTTTGGAGTGCTCTACCCACCTGTTTTGCTGGTCTTCACTGTTGATGATTACTTTTCCTTCCTTACTTTTCACTGGTCGTTCCGGTTTACTGTAAATTCCAGCGAGCTTCTTTATTGTATCAAACAGTTATTTCATGATTCCTTCTATTGCAGCGTTTGCCGTCATTGCTAGATCATCAACATATTTACGTTGTATGTTCTGATGCTCCTCTCCGCTCGCTTGATTACTTCTGTGTATTCAGCTTGTGACTTGACTTTCTCTGCTAATGTCCAGCTGATATTGATTGCTGCATTCTTGTTCCTCCTTTCTTGAATCATACTCAGTGTATCGACAGTGATTCATTCCTTGTAGAAAGAATTCTTTCTAGTTGTATTTTTATTGACTGAACTGTTTCTCTCATTATTATTTCACTCTCATACACTAATTTCCGTTCATTGTTGGTCTTCTTTTATTATACTCACCCTACATTCCTTACCCTTTCATAACCTCATTGTTATTGTGTGGCACACATATATTTGGTTCCCCCTTGTACTAATTTATGTGTTCTAATAAATAAATTACTTTCAATCTATTATTATATTAAGTAAAAAGACCCTAATTTTAAAGTGTATATATCAGGCTGTATCCGGTTAATTAAGTTGCTCCAAACATACTTGAAATGATTTACTTATATCAGTATAGAAAGTTACTGTATCCATAATAAAATCAAAGTCGTTTATTGCTAATCAGGATCTTAACGTAATAACGATCTTGTATGGAGGAATGAAGATAGTTACAAGATTATACACAAAATATAAGCAGACGCAATATTCATTAAAAATACTGCGTATTAACAAGATGAAGTCTAAACCAGCATTTCAAGCTAGTCGACTAAATACTGACAACAGATATGAAGTGATATACTGATTTCGGGATCTAATGAGTTGTGAGTATTGAAGTGCTCTAATCAATAGTTTGATAAGCTTCAAAAGAAAAACGACTTTTCCTCCTAAGGAATCTTCCGGTTAAAATTGTGAGTGCCTTAAGATCTTACTATATTTCTATACAAATAATATTCATTTTTTAATAAAATTTCCTCTCCTCTGGTTTTCTACTGGCAAAACCTGTAATCACTTTTTATTGGAGTGAACACCTCATTAAATCCATCATACTTTGTTGTTCTCAGTCAGTCTTTGGCAACTTTGAGATCTATAACAATTATGTATGGAATCGAGTTGTCATGTCTTACATTATCATACCGAGAGAACAAGTTAAAACACGGGAAGCGGGAAAACTTGTGAAAATCTAACCAAGAGATAAATATTAAAAAGTACATGTGAAACCGAAGAATGAACTGTGCGGAATGATAATGAGCTCAACATCTACAGAAATATAAATAGTCACTTTGATTGCTTCAATGGAATCGATTTTGACACTTGTCACCAAACCATGGATTACGACTATTGTGATTGGAAACAGTTGTGAACCTTTCCTTAACTCACCTAGTTCAGACTGGTTGTCAGTGACTCCATGAACTCATGCCATATCTTCACTTGGCTGCCTTTAGCCTTCTAACCTAATTCTATGTTAAACAATATAACTCTTATGAGTAGTTAGTGGTAGGATTTGCATAACATGGCCCAACCTCATCAATTGTTACACGTTCCATCTATCGACTTTTTATTTGTTACTGCCTCACGAGTTCCAGGTTAACTGTTTTATTTTTATAAATTCCAATTCACCAAGTTCTAATTACTCAGTGAATACAGCCGCCAGCCACCACATTAAAAACATATTGATCATGTTTTTTTTTCAATTACTAAATGCTTATCCTTGATTTTGTCTCGTGACATTTTACAACTATCAGCACTAACTATAACAGCAAGAAATCCCATTGGTGATGTTTAGCATATCTGAAAAGCTCATAACGCATTAAAACAGTATTCATGATGTAGAAATATCTCCATACTGTTATTAACGAATTGTAGGCTGTATGACAAATTAATTTTCCATATATCCATGACATTTCCCTGTTGTTTCTTATCAGACTATACGAAAAACAAGGTGGACTTGTTCAATCACTAATATACCCTAAAAATAAGGTGGTGAATACATGAAAAATACTTCTAAAACCCACGAACAACGATAACTATTGATTTCACCGATTCGAAAGATACCAAACATGTCACAAAAGTGATTAGAATACAACTCATTAACTAATCTAAATTGACATCTTTATATATCATTTAAGCGTGAAAGTTTCTTAAAACTCCTCATAGGAATATCAAGGAACAAAAAGATAAAGACTAAAATACCAATCATTAATAACAGGAAAGTTGAGTACAATAATTGGTCAACTTATTTCTCCCGATTTCACTAATAACATAATGTGGTGTTTGTTCTGTTAAGGAGAAACTGTGCAGCATTATCTCTGCTATTTTGCTGTACTCACTGAATCAGTAATTTATTCATCCGCATCGAAAGTTCTTAATGATCATTACGAAATTATTTCAACTGTAATGTCATTGCATCAAATTACGTTTATCTCTGCTAACCGCATGACACGAGTAAGCGTTAGTTGGGAAAATTTTCTCTATGTTTATATGATTGACAAATTCTCAACGAAATTTGACAATAATCCGACAAGTATTCAAAAAAAATTCTCAAGATACTGCCACACCCTTCAGAAAATATTCAATTCTTCCATTTCCAATTCATGTTGTTTTCATAGAACAATTTTTGCTCAGCATGCTAATGTTGCGAAATGGACACGTCGAGTCGATCTTTTCAGTAAAGATTATATTATTATTCCAATTAACGAATGGTAGGTCTCTGAAAAATTTATTTTTTTAAACATGGATTGAATTATGTTAAGCTAGTTGAATTCTTAGGATTATTTGGTTCACCATTGTACATTTATCAAATTTTTCGATATAGTGTTGTCAAACTTTTCTAGTATCACAATCCTCAGTAGTGTACTCAGAATCCATTCGAGAATGTCTAGGTCTCAAAGATTACTGCGGTTCGCAGTACTGATCCCGCAAAAAATGGACCACTTACATGAAAAACTTTGGTATAACCACTCATGAACCTCGTATTTCAGTGTTGGCTTTAACTGTGTTGATAAGGTCATTCACCAACTCTAGTATTTTACAAAACATTACTGAACAGTCAATCAACTTCCATTAACTTGGTAGAATTGTTACGATAAACAATCAGAAAACTTGTTTTTCCATTTGTCAGAATTATTATGTGGTTGGACGCATCAAATGGTTTGCTCATTTCGACAAAAAAATCCCCCCCCCAATGAACACCTTTTTCGTAGACAATATTTGTCTACATATGTTGAGACTAATAATAGAAGTCTATTCAGTACGATATATAAATACATTTTGTGGAATTATCAACATATAATATTGTAACAACTCACAGAATAGTAATTCCGTAAAACAACATGTTGCTTTTAAAGAAACCTAAAATATATCATAGTCCAGAATAATATAACTCATTTATCGAGTACAGGTTTATGTACTTGGATTTTGTGTTCACTTTATTTGGTAAGAAAGTTGAGGATAATATGCAGTTGAGCGAATCAAAGTTAACGATACACACAAAAAATCTAAAATGTGACTTTAAAAATGTATTCTTTAACCACTGAGTGCTTGCCCCATGACATAACACAATTCGTCCAACGAAGTCCCGAGTAATATGACCACAGTATTTAGTCTGAATGATTAAACTTAAAATAGGTTCGACGCAGTTTTCTTTGTTGAATTTCTAGACTGCATGTTTAATGTTTCTGAAAGTCATTTATGTTGATACTGGTATGTACTACTGTCAGTTTATTTTTAAATAAGTAATCAGATGATCGTTTAATTATTGATTTAAAAGTTTTAATATGCCTTCATCTATGTCGATTTGTTTAGGCTAGTCGTATCATGAACTCTTACACTAGAAATACTGACGGAAACCAAGTACATTAAATTAAACTTGGTAGATAGGTTATACTAAAAATATAGTTCTAGTTACATTTGTTCACTTAGTCACTACTACAATTGTTCATTGTTCTTTAGTATTTAAATTCATCCATCGTCACTGATTCTGATTGTTTACCTTTTATAAACCGCATGACATTCTGTATATTCAGATTGATTGGTCGTCATTGTTAAAACTCTTTCAGTGCACATTGGTTTCTTGGTCTTGTCTGCTATCCATGGATGGCGGGAATGGTCAGTTACACGGCTCTTTATCGTGAAGAAGTCTATCATCTCTGCCAGTTGACAGAAAAATTTACCGATGTCGATCGCATCAACTTCTCAGGCGACGATTTAAATTCCCTAGATATTGGTGAAGAAGTTATTCAAAGGTTGCCTACCGACACTCCAGTAAGTAATCAATCAGAAAATTTTAATATTTATACAATTGCCCGAAACTTTTAGAATTCAAATTTGAGAGCTTTGTATCTGTTTTGTTAAAATATATTCATGCCAAGTTTTACATGTACCTATAAAAATTGTTGCTCTGGTTCTTAGAAAGGGCATCAGCCTCGTGACTTACGAAGAATCTCGGCTTTCACCATGAGGTGTCATAATTTATGTTATTTATGTTATGCACGTACCAATGATTGTAACAATGACAGTAAAGGTCAATTCTATGAGCGGCTGCAATCAATCATAGCAAAGTGTCCAAGAAAGGCTCTCACCATCCTGATGGGAGACCTAAACGTCAAGGTTGGAATGGACAACAATGGGTATGAATATATCATAGAACGGCATGAACTGACAAAGAGAAAGGAACGAGAATGGTGACAGATTCGCAAATTCATGTTCGTTCAACAAAGTGGTTATAGGTGGCCTTATATTCCCCCACAAACGTATACACAAAACTACATGGGTCTCACCTGACCACATTACAAAGAATCAAATCGATCATATCTGTATCACTGAAAAATTCAGAAGGTCTATGGAAGATGTGAGAACCAGGAGAGGAGTTGACATAGCTCCGCATCACTACCATCAGGTTGTGACCGAGATGAAATTGAAGCTAAAGTAGTACTGGGCAACTGGGGGAACAGCATTACAAAAGTTCAATACAGGCTTCCTTTGAGGAAATCGGTAGAAGACGTTGGAGGTGTACAGGACATACATCCCCTCTCCATTGAGTAGAGCGTGACAAGCCTGGGACCGATTGCTAAGGGCTATCTTGAATTCATTGAGAAAGGATGTATTGAACTTTTGTGATGTTGTGTGCCCCGTTTTTCAGTTCTTCTTGAGTTTCAGTTTCATCTTGGAGACCAACAAGTGATGATCTGAGGCTATATCAGCTCCTTTCTTGATTCTCACATCTCCCATCGTCCTCCTGAACTTTTCGCTGATGCAGATATGGTCGATTTAGTTCTGTGTAGTATGATCCAGTGCAATCCATGTGGCTTTGTGTATGCGTTTATGTGGGAATATGGTGCCCCCTGCGACCAGTTTATTGAAGGCACATAGGTTCCTTTCTCCTAGTCTGTGTCGTCTTATGATGTCTTCATATCCGGTGTTGTCTATTCGAACCTTGGCATTTAGATTCCCCATCAGAACGGTCAAGTCTTTTGTTAGGCATTTCTCATCGATTGACTGCAGCCTATCGTAGAATTAATCTTTAACGTTTTCATTTTAGTCGCTGGTAGGCTCATAGCATTGGTTGACGTTCATTGTAATGCCCTCTTCCTTTGTTTAGAAGGAGTCTTTCGTGATCCTGGATCCATGAGATTATCATCCTATAAGTGCTTTTTGTGCTTGTTTGGATAGCATCAGTGCATCTCTTTGTGTATGTGGGGAATTTTCTTCTTCATGGCCGGAGAATAACAACAGCTTTCTGGAAGCTAGTCTTTGTGTCACTATATATATATATATATATATATATATATATATATATATATATATATATATATATATATATATATATATATATATATTATCTGTGTTAATGATGATAGCGATAGGTAATAAGTGTTCGAGCCTTATTAATTTCCAAGTGAAAAGAATGATCCTCTTGATAGCAGTCACTCTTCTCTAATGAACACTGAATCTTAGTGGCTGAAGCAGTATATCTTGCTTGTTAACCTCTTAACAACGTAGAGGTTTCTCCATATGTTAGCCAAGAAGTGTTCAGTGTTCATCTACATTGCAAGTCATGTTGATTCTACAAGAACTCACTCTTATACAATGTTCCCCATCTCCAGAGATCTTCGTATTACAGACGGTCAGTCGATTAAGCTTGAAGCATGTTTTCATAATTCATATATTCATATTTGCCAGTACATCCATAAATTATTCGTTGTTAGTATCAGTATTAATTGATGACTACTTCATTTTCGTATCTCCCAGATGATTAATTTCCTTTTCTAATAACAGTGTCGTTTACCTTGTCTGACGAAAACATCTTAATAATTCACTCTTGTACGGAAGATACTGTAGGGCCAGTGAAATGTCACTGAGTCATAGCCAAATCATCTGGCAGTTGGGTCACTGAATATAGAACAGTTCATCGATCTTCGTCAGAACCAACGACAACTAACGCTTATCAGTTAATTGCACGCCATTGACTGGTCCATGCGGTTAGCCGGCTGATCCAACTCGAGCTGGCTGCCAATCATTCGATATAGATCATCTACTTTAGTGATCTACAATACATTGCTTTATATACCTTTTAGTAGGCGGTGTTAACATTGTTATCTGATATTGTATCTGAGCATGCAAGGAAAGACCTGATCTGTCATCAATGTTGCATCTGAAACAGAATAATAGTATTTTCTTTGCAATTACTAATGGTCCCATAGATATTTATTCAGTAGTGTTTAAGTGTAACATCTGATTACGGGACCACACATTAAAAACAAGACAGTTGAACAAATGATACTTCTGGACACAGTCCATGGTTTTATCACGTGTTAAAAAGAGTTACTTCGATATATATCTATTTCTGAAAACATGTACAGAGGAATAAACAGATGCAGGGACTACTGTATTGATGTTTTTTCAAAATACAGACGTAACGATTAATATAATTGTCCCAATTCACAGAATCAGAAAATTGAATAAAATCCGATTCATTATTGAAGCACAACAAACGGCTAGACTACTTTACAAAAATTTATTGTCCAACACCAAAAGAAAACTGTCGACAACGAATAATCGATCGGTGCCAGAAAAGCAAACACTCATTACCAGTTTGATTTGTCACAATATCTGCAACCATACATTGATGATGAGTAACCTTTTTACTTGATATATAGATTGTTTTATCATAGCATTGAGGAGGGATTCTATGTAACATATATATCAGTTGTGAGAGCACCCAAAATCTGCTACAATCACATTTGAAATGTGATCAGAGTGTGACTCGTTTAAAACATTTTTCTCACACTGACTAGAGGTGAGTGAATTGTGAGGATAAATAACACTTAATATGGGTCCGTTAGAACTATAATTAGATTTGAATCCATTGAGAATTCGTGCATCATATTGACTAATTTTTCACTAGAAACAAATGCATCGTGAGAACAAGCAACATTTGTTATGATATCGCCGGAATTCGATACATTTGAAACATTTTTCTCAAACTCATTAAAGACTTCATTAGAAACTAATGAATCATCAAGATAATCAGCATCTGATATGACATCATTAGGAATTTGATCAGAAATTGATTCACTTGAAACATTCGTCCCACCCGACGTGACTGGATAATTAGAATGAGAGGGATGTGATGAAAAAACATTTGAACATTGCCCAGAGTCAACATTATTAAGGATTTCATGTAATTGGTTCCCTTTATGAATTTAAATAAAGCAATAACAAATATTGGTGCAGAATAGTATGAATTCATATTATTTCGAGGTTTCTCGTCAGCTGCTTACAAACCAAAAACGTGATAGAATTTTTACATTGAGATAGTGTGAAAACAATTGACATGGATGAGTGTAAATAACTGGATTGCAATAATAACTATATATATATGCTAGAACAGGTCAGATGTCAAAAGAAATTAATTCGGGTTGGGTGGTGTAATAGTTTAGTGAAGTTCATGAATTATGTAATAATTTTAGAGATTAATGAAATTTAATAATCATAAGATAGGTTACGTAATAATAATTAAATAAAATTTGAAAAGTTAAGATAATTTAAGAGGATCAGGTGGTAGAAATGTGTGAATAATAATGTGGTTTAAGAATTATGTACTAGGGGGGAGTATAAATATTTTAAAATAAATAAATGAATGAAATACTCCAAATAACCAAAACACACACACAAACAAAAAAGGGGTTACTAGGGTAGTGATAAGTTTATTAAATTCTCTTTTTGAATGCATAAGTCCGGTTTAAGTTTTTTGATCACAATGGCTTCAGCGAAATGGGGGGTGGTCGTACTTCTTTGTCTGTTGATAATTTCAAAAGCGTGCGGAATGTCGAGGGTGTGCCCGGTGTCAAGTAGATGCCGAGCTATTGGGCTGTTGAAAGCATTAGTCCCTCGCAGCCTCAAGTTTTTTGGAACACGCTCAGAAATTCGGACATGCACTCTTCTCTCAGTTCTTCCAATGTATGTGCTTTGGCACGTACATGTGAATTGGTAAATGCAATTGGAGCTACTAAGAAAAGAGGACTTGTCGATTTTGGTTTGTTTAAGTGAGCAGTTTGTTTTTTTTTGAGATGGTGGAGAAGATTTGTAGCTCAAGTGGATGATTTCGGTGGAGTTTTGTTCTCTGAGCTGGATGATTTGGTCGTGGAGCTTTCATCCTTCTTCTGAACGACATCATCAGCACAAACTTCAGATAGAAGTTCGTTTGCCGTACTGTCATAAGTTTTGCTGCTGGGTAGGTCACTTTCAACGCAGAGTTTAGTCTGTGATTAATTATTCCAGCAATTTCATCACCTTTGAAACGTAAGTGTAAGAAGTAGGTTTTCTTTTCTACTCCATCGTATTTTGTACGAGGATTATTATTAAGGAATTCGTTGACCTCTTCCTCATTCACAAAACTGTTCCTTACTGTATCAGTTAACTCGTTAAGTGTATCTACGACTTTTGAGTGCGATTCCGAATTTGATTGTTTAGGCATATGTTCATTCAATGCACCGATGAGCATTAAGTGGGATCTGATTAACAAATAAATCTTCAACAATCTGAAGCATCCGTTTTACTTCTGCTGCAGAAACTGACATGTTCTTACATTAGTAACCGCGTCGTTTATTGTAACATAGACTTGATAAATAAGAGCAGAATTATATTTATAACTGAGGAAACAGGATTTGGGGTAAGTTGAACTGAAAACTGGGTTATAACTGGAAACAGACAGTTATGTTGGAGACTGAAGCTTGTAAATTTACCCAGTCAGCGATTGTTTTGTTTTGTTTTTTCCGAAATTCCTGTCGTCAGTTGTTCTATCTAGTCGTCGCTAATTGTTATGTCAGAATTGCTTATTACTTATACCTGTAAAACGGTAAACCAATGCAATTCCCATGACGTAAAGAACACCAAGACCGGTACAAGTGATTTATTAATCCCAAAACATAAAAACGACCCTGGTTAACAATAAATTCATTTGTATATTGACTGTACACCCATTTTGATTATTAATTAGGATGAAGTCACATATATGAAAAATACGTAGAGTTATAACAGATCATATGCTGCATGTCATGTTGAGCATAGTTCATGTTAACTTAATACAAGAATATCGTATCTTGAACAAAAACCACAATAAATAAAAGAATGTAACTTTAATTTTTAATCCCACTATATTGTAGACTACTAATAAACAAATATAAATGCAAATATTTTATTTTTTGTTTATTTCAGTTATTTACAAGCTGAATGGAATACTCGCAGATCAGCCCAAGATGGTGTTCTCCGCTTCGATAAGGATACAATTCGAGGTTTTAGTCCTCGAGTGCCTGTTCAGAGTAACCTGGTTGATTGTGAAATCTACCTACTTCATTATGTGGAAATGTTTTTCAAGGTGAATTTAATTGTTTTGACATATCGTAGTTAATTATGGATGTAAACTTGATATGTCATTGTTAACATGTAACTTGTAAATCTGAATATCGGTCATTTATTTCAGGCTATCAAAGTGTGTATGGCCCTTCGCTTGATGGGCTGGGCCTAATACAAATGAATCGTACCTGTGGTTAGAATTATATGCTTGTTATGTACCTAGTGTGCTCATTCTGATGTAAACCTACCGAAACCAATCTTTGTACTATAGTTACTGTGCATACTTGGGTGTAAACTCGCATCTTCTGTATAATATTCGCTTATATAGATTTCTAAAATAATATCAGAAAATTCTATCCATATTATTGATCATTTGTCCATTTCTTTATATGCATTACCTTAGTAACTGATGACTTGTAACCCCTAATATACTTATTGGATTGCGCTTAAAATTGTTTCATACGCGACCCTGCAGTTTACTTTTGTCGACAGTGTTTTCGTGAAATAATCTATCAATAACTGACCGAAAAGATAACTCTATCACTTATTCGCCTTTTTACCACTGGTTAATATATTTTTAGAAACCTGTTCAAAGTTATACGAAAGATTATTTCCAACACGAAATGGCTGGTTGGTTTCCAGAAGCTACTGTCAGCCAGAAACGCGCCCAAATCCATGACCTTTTGGTTAACCTACGAGAGCGTACATTGATGGAGAAGGCTAAAAACTGATTCCAATACAAGTCACTGTAACACTATTACTTTTATTAACTTACGAAATTCAATTTTTAAAATGGATATAACCACCTTATCGGCGAGACTCTAATTTTGGGACGTGACAATCAGAGGTGTTTGAGCAATTTGAAGGTCGCTGAGCGAATTTCAACACCTGATTTTAACATACCATCGGTTCCCAAAGGATTTTAGAGAGGAGGACATTAATGAGAGGTTACAACATATGGGACAGCGAGACTCTAATGTGGGACGAGCCAATCAGAAGCGTTTGAGCGATTTCAATCATTCGCCAATCAGAAGACAATATAAAGTAAAAATATATTGTAAGAAAGTAATGTATTAAAGTAGATATTCTTCATTTACATGATTTAAAAACTTGTTACGTTTTGATGAAGGTTCTGAAGTTCTGAATTCATAATGCATATGGTATAGAAACTCGTCCATAATGTTAAATTTAGGGTTTAGTGTTAGTTAAGCACACACCAACAGAACCCTATTTAAATAAATAATAATTCCACTCACGTCTTTATGAAACCTCCCGTTGGTGACTACTGCGTTCCCGTGAGGTTCTTACAATACGGTACGTCTATTATGGCAGATGGTTAGATCAGTAATACTCATAAGATTTCAAAATGTCTCCGTAATGATCATAAATCATGGTGGGGACTCTCTATTCCACTTTGTTACTTATCATCCTGGTTCAAATACCGTTTTCATTAATTCTTTCATTTACTTATTTCCGTATTTGTTAAGTCTAGCTAAATTTGTTTATTTACCTAACTTGGACTTGTTTCCTATTTTTACTCTTTCTTATGTCAATTTTAGAGCTTTCCTACTATGCCTGTTTATTAACTCTTTTGTTACCTGACATCTGCTTGTTCAAGCCATCTATCTCTCTGAACAAAAAGTATTCATTTGTCATCAGAACATGTTCAGTTCAAGAAAACTGCAACATCCTCTGAAATTAATATACTTAATTGATCTGATTACACATATTTTACGTTACCATTGGATATAAGCCATGAAGATTCTAATATAAAGAAGTCTGTTAATTTAAAATAACTCGTTATAGATATTTCTAAAAACGGAGTAGATGAATGAAGTGACTTTGGTAGAAATTTTGTCATTGTTTAAACCGGTTAGTGCCTAAATCGTTTGTTTTAAACTTTCAAATGTCAAGGTCGAAATCGAGGGCCTATTTCTGCGCTAGTCGTTTGATTGTTTATGTGGTTCATTCGGAAGCTATATCCTTAGGGTTTCTCTTTACTTGTCTTTAAATTGTTTGTCGTTCTAGTACCTTTCATTTGTAAATGCGTGTGGGTCTTTAAGTGTACGTATTGTCATTGGATCAAGTGTTATATATCCTTGCTTCCGGATTCCTTCGATGACGTACTTTTGTTGATATTCTTAACAGCAACCTCTTACCATTTATACACAAATTTTCATAAGAAGAGACTTTCATTATCCTCATGTTTTATTCAGGTCGTCATTTGGTGACTTATGACGGAAAAGACAGGTAATGTTCCAGTTCATTCATTTCAATCGTTGATAGGATCTTAAACATAGATATCGAGCTAGGTTGCTCTTCAGACCTAAAAAAGGTAACTCTTCACTTGATTAGATCTATGTCGAGTCAGGATCTAGAGATAAGATTGACAGATGACGATGACTTTTATTTTCTTTATTTCATTAGAATTACGGTTGATGAGTTTACTGAGTACGTACTGATTCCACTTTCGATCTCATCACTTTTATAGAATTAAACAGCAGCAAGGGTTGCTCATTAATTTCAATGAATTTGAACAGAAAGTGGCAGATCTCTTGTGCATTTGTTCACAAGAGGAGGCTATCGAAAATCCGAAGTAAGCTGGTTATACCTGTCAACTTATTTTAGATATGGACTTCGGTTTTCCAGAAACACTGAGGAAAGAGATTGCGGTTTATTGCAAATAGTTGAGGCCACCAATTTTAAATATCTTCACCATTTGAGTCTCAATTTGTATGCAGCTGATGACGAAAAGCTTAAACTATTTCTAGCAAGCCGTTTAAAAAAACATAAAGTACTTGTGTAGGTTTACTTTATTTTTAGGCTGAAAGTGATGCCATTATCAAGCAACTTAACCATTCTGTATCCGAGTTGACCTCGTCTCTGAAATCTGCAGAGGAGGTGTGTTTTTTCATCCTTTTTACACCTTTAGGGTACGAAGTTAATAAAAGACGAGTTCCAAGCGTTCAAAGTAGCATGTTCAGCTAAAGAACTCAGTCTTCGCGCCGAGAATGAGTTCACTATCAGGGAATTGCAATCGAAACATGATGAGGTTCAGTCTTTTGTCAATAGTTATAAATTCTTAGGTAAAAACGAAGTTAGAAGAATCTCTTTCCAAAGAAAAGTATTTAGCCAATCAAATACAAGAGGAGCTTCAAAAGGACTTTAAAAGTCGTTTGGATTTAGCATTGAACAATAACAAAGTGAGTATTTAGTAAGAGACCGTTATAAATTACTTCCTTTTTATTGGTTGAACTACGTAATCTATAGTGATTTATTAGGTTTTTCCATATATTTATAAGAGACTACTGGCTAAAACTCATTTTGTTTTCCCAAGAAAAGTTAACATTGCCACTTTTAAAACAGAACTCGACACTGACTATTGTAAATTCGACTTCATGTTTCTATACTTACGGTCACAGGAAAGCTAGTTCATTTTCGTAACCAATTTGTTTTGCCTGTTACGTGTCATGTTTTCAGTCATCTATGGGAAAGGACTTAGATCCTGCCAGAAATTTTCGATCCTTCGATGAAATATTAATGCCTCCACAGGTTTCAAACAAGCATACCTCCTTGACTGGATTGGTCGGTGGGTGAAAAAAGTATTTGGAAACATTGTTTAACACCGAAATATTAGCAAGTGTATAAACTCATGTTTCACTGGTGTACAGATGAAAATTCACTGTTAAATTTTTATGGGGTTTATCAAAATACATGGTTGGATATGGAAAGTCTGTCACTTACCTATAGAGTTTTTTAATTGAATTAAAACACATAAATATTGGTACAAAAAGGCACCAAATAGATATGCACCACATAAATTATTCGATTTGTGTGAGGGCTGAAATACTACCCGGGCACCGAAACCGAAGCAGGTGGTTTTCTTAGGGGGCTACACCCCGAGCCTTTGACCTAAAAGTCTAAACCACAAGGCAGTGAAGAAATGTTGGTAAATGCATTCTCATGGTAGCCGGTGACCAACAATAATTCCATGCTCTATTTGTTCCCTCAGGATCCTAGAGCTAATGTGCACCATTGATTTGGAATCAGGGTTTTCCAACTCCCCTAGGTGGGTGCTCCGTTTCCACCACCCGGTCAAAGTGCCAGACATTTGCTATTCTTTCAGTTTCGTAAACAACATTCCTGCTGTGAGAAGGAAGTGAAAAGGACTTCCCTGGCAGTGTTTTATGCATGTGGCCAAGTGAGAGAATTTCGAGAGGGAGAGTTTACTCTCCCCACTTTCGGCTGTACCAGGGCATTTGGGATAGTTACTTTTTCCATTGACTTAATTATATCCATTTACTAGTATCACCAAATTCTGTTTTAACTAGTTTGTTTGTACTATATCTTGGTTACTGACATAAATGTGAACGCTATAATACGAATACAGGTGATTCAACTAGTATGATGAATTTTTTTAAAGGTTTATTTTTCTCATCGGATTCCCTTGCCCTGATAGTGCACCATATTTAAATCCTTCTAATATTATCTTTGTGTATTCGAGCTTTCAAATATTCATTTAGAAATCTGTTTATTTATAAACTGTATCATGTCTAGTGATTTCTCGGGCTTCTTGTTTTGCTGTTACAAATGTAGTCGAGTTGATGAAAACATACCTATGTATTTCTAAAAATCTCATTTCTACTATAAGATATATCTCATCCTAACTTTCCCCTTACAGTAGACATCCTTATCGTAGAAATTTTTGACTCCTTATAAGCTATTATGTTGGTTTATTTTCCCATTCGTCTGTGACGTTTGATCACATTTCAAAAAGAAGTACTCTTACTGGCTATATCTGTTGGTCATAAACGTTTAACTATATGGTATTAATATGATATTCAGTTACTTATTTTGACTAGTTTTGGGGGTCAACTTAGTCCCCACCTATCGTTTTGGTGTTTTTACTTGGGTCTTCCCATCCACCGTTTTCTTGTTGAAGTACCAAGATTTACGCTAACGTAACACACTAGTTCTCAGTTCTTTTAGTTTCTTCTAGACTACCCAATATATGTTGCAGTGTTATGACGAAAATTGATTCTCGTCCTTGATTTTAACATTTTTTTTATCTATATCTATGGCATTACTGATATTTGCTTAAATAAGGAAATAAACGTCTTGTTTTTCGTTGAGCAGAATCTACGGGATCAACAGTCTGTCCTTCAAACACGTGTAGAAACACTCCAGGAGAAACTAAAGTTTGCAGAAACTGAAAATATTTCTTTAACTGAAGATATCAAAAGTAAGTTTCACCCGTTTATATATATACATATATATATATATATATATATATATATATATATATATATATATATATATATATATATATATATCTTAATGTGGTTCTTTATCACATTCATAAAACTAAAACAATCTCTTATTAACGGAAATAAGTACTTCTTTGTTGTTTTTCTACAGATCTATTTCCTTAAAAACTATCACTCTTGTTCATTTATTTACCGATTGTACGACCCTTCATTTACGAGGCGCATTTTTGTGCCTCATTGTAAATAGTTAGAAAATCTTATTTGCTAGTCAAAATTTCTAAATCACAAATGAAATCAGATTGTGTAGTATACATTTTATATTGGTGCTTGCTAGCTCTAAGCACCTCTTGGGATGTTCAACGTGTTGCTTCTTTACTTTTTTTCAAGTCGCTATCTATAGTGATTTATTTTTTCTAGATATTGTAAGACTTAGAAGTTGTTGCTGAAGGTTATCCTGAACTGGC